ACTATAAATATATTTACTTCTGTGGCTTCTTGTTTTACATTTGTGAATTTACATTAAATTCCTTAATACAACATCATTTAATGTGTGTGCACCTGAGTATATTTGTGGGTACACGAGTGTGCAGGTGTTTGTGGAAGCCAAAAGAGGTGTGGGGGCTGGGAATTGAACCAGGACCTATGCAAGAACAGGAAGTGTTCTTAACCACTGGTCTGTCTCTCCAAACCCCATGCCTTATTCTTTATTTCTGGATTTTCCAGTCCGTTCCAACTAATCACATTATGCACTTAATGTTTACATGGCCATAGCTTTATAAAATATTTTAATACATTGAGCATGTGCTTTTCCACAATTTTACTAGTGAATTATTCCTTGTTTATCTCCCCATGTGGTCTTCAGAATATTCTAACTTAGTTGGATAGTGTATGACTATGTCAAGTTCAATTTCATTCTTTTGTAAATTAACTTGGGGAAAGTATGTCCTTGTACACAGTCGGAATGATCCTTTACATGACTTCTCAACCCTCCTTCAGAGAACTTCTCATTTGTCTGGGAATAGATCTTACAGGTTTCCTCTGACATTTACTTCCACAAAATACTTCTGTTCCTTTTTAAATGAGGTCTTTTCTCTCATTATGTTCCTGAATTGATTATGTCTCATATTCCAAAGGGGTATAACCATCTTGTTAACTGGACTGCTTGAATGCCGTACATATTCTGGTTGAATAATTTCATTTTCTACTTACATGATTCCTTTTGCTTGTCCACTAATATCCTCTCTATTCTAAAATAACAATTGGCTATTCTTTCCTTCTTGACTTTGTGGGGAATGTGTCTAATATTTCCTCATGAGATGGGTATTTATCAAGTTTAAAAAGTATATATTTGTTTAAATCTTATTGAGCATTTAAGAAGACTCACAATTGGATTTTATTAGATGTCTTTTTATTTTCCCTGGGGAGAACAAGTAACTTCTCATTTTTAAAAATAACTTTTTATGTGCATGAGTGTTTTGCCTGTTTGTATGTCACAGACACCACCACATTCATGCCTGGTGCCCATGGAGGCCCGAAGAGGGCATCAGATCCCATGAAACTGGAGTTACAGGCTGTAGTGAGCCAACATCTCACCTTTGTGTTAGAAATATGGGGAGTTTTGTCAGCCTATTTTCTAACACTTAGCTATCTGAATTCTGAAGTTTTACTTGGTCTTGCTATAGTTTATTCAACTGTGCTAGTAAACTGCATTTTGAGTCTTTGAGACCATTATTCACAAATGAATTGAGTATGAATTTTTTTTTCTTAATGCTTATTCTGTTTGGTGACAATGTTAATAAATAGGAACAACATCTTTCCTTCTCATGTTCCTACATATTTCAAAGATGTTGGTGTTTGCTGCTCCTTAGAAGTTAAATAGAAAATGCCTGTGAGAAACACAGAACTAAGAATCCAGTGGGGTGGTCGTGGGCCGTGGTGAGAGACTCAATTAGTGTGTTCATTATGGTGACAAAAGTCCCTGCCAACAAACAACTTAAGTGGGGAAGCCTTCGGTCATGGCAAGCATGGTGGCAGGTGCTTGAGATACCTGGTGACAGTACATCCACAGCCACAGTCAGGAAGTGGATCACAAGAAGCCCTCATTCTAGGAGAAGGCTTTCTCCTTCTTTAAGCAGGACAATACCCAACCAGCTTTGTGCTTTTTCATACACAGGAAGGGAACTGCCCATTTAAACATCACAAGTACGATGAGCCCTCACAAGTATGGAAGAAGCTAACCTAATCTAGGTGATCCCTCACAGGGGTGTCCAGAGGCTTCCCTTAGGTGACTCTAGAGATCATCAGATTGATAATCAGTATTAACTATCACAACAGGTGCATGCGTGTAAGGCTGGGGGGACAATGTCGGTCTCATCCACTTACCATGTTGTTGTTGTTGTTGTTGACAGGGTTTCAGTATATAGTCTTGGCTAGCCTAGAACTTCCTATACAGACCAGGATGAACTCACAGAGATCCTCTTGCCTCTGTGTCCTGAGTGCTGAGATTAAAAGTATGAGACATCATGCCCAGGTCTACCTTAGTGGGTTTTTGTTTGTTTGTTTAAATAGAATTCTATCACTCTGTCTTAAACATATTAAAATTTCTTCATTCTTATTATTGTATTTTGAATTCTAAATGTTTCTTCAGACACTCTATATATGTCTATGTCTCCTCCTCTCCATCATTTTGTTCACTATCCAAAGTTTGGGTTATAATTTTCCCTTTGGATGGGAAATTTAGATTTTTGCATATTTATTTATTCTCTAGCTTTCTCTTTAAAAAATGTTTGCAAACAAATTCCCACCACATTCGATTGTTTTAATCATGATCCATCCACTCTGATACCAGTGAGTATACATCATGTTTCTACCTGTGTCATAACACAGAGTACTACCTTATGATAACACAGAATATTGACACAACATTACTGACACCTTCATACAATATTTCATATTGTTTCTACCTGTGTAATAACAGAGTACTGACAAAACATCCCTGACATCTTCATAGAATATATACTCAGATTTCTTTCCAGTATATTTTGGGGGTGGATTTATGAATATGACAGTGCATAATGCCTGTAACAAACATTGTTGAATATTTTTCCAAAATTGTTCAAAAAGTTCCTATATCTCTTTCAAGAAGTAGAATTCTTGCTGTTGTGCGGTGATCATACATGCCTATAATCCCAGCAGGCAGAGGTAGAGGGAACTCTGTGAGTTCAAGGCCAGCCTGTTGTACAGAGTGAGTTCCAGACAGCCAAAGCTACACAGAGAAACCTGTCTCAAAAAGGAGGAGGAGGAAGAGTAGGAGAATTCTCAGTTTTTTTCAGTGTATGTAGAAGTAGCTAAAGATGGTCTTAATTTTCCTTTGCCTGATGGCTGAAGAGATTTCTGCATATTTTCATATGCTTAATTGCTATTTAAATATCATCTTATGAAATACTCAAGTCTTCTGCCCATTTTCCCCTGAGACTTTTTTCTTACTTGATTTTTGTGGTTTTGGCTTGCTGCTTTGTTTTTGTTGTTTTGTTTTGTTTTATGTGCTAGATAACACTTTGATGGTTATATGCATTGCTGATATCTTCCCCATTTACTGTGAATACCTTCTCTCATATTTTTATACTTGCCTTTTAATAGACGAGCTCTTCGTTTTAATGGAGTATAATTTATTTGTATTTTTTCCTCCTTTATTGTTGGTGTGTTTGTGTCTTGTTTAAGAAGGCTCTACCTAGCATCCCACTCTTTGGCTTTGATAATTAGGGAAGTTTCATGAGACAGCCCTGTCCATAAAATGCCCAATAAACAGTTCACCCCACTTCATTCCTCTCTCTCCTAATGTGGCCATTATTCCTCATGACCCTAAGAACTCCTGCCCCTAATTGTGCTCCTGGGTCTGCCTTGCTTTGTGACCACATGTCTGAAGATGGCTGCAACTGTCTGGAAGAACTCTCAATTGAAAGTGCAAGGACTCAAACATTTAATGAGGTGCAGTCATCTTTGTGGGAGCATCTGTGCTGTGCTCCAGGTTCTCGTCTTTTTACCATTCCATGGAGAGGTAAACAGTAACGGGAACCTGCAGACTTTTCTGGACACATGTGTGCAGCATCCCACTTCACTGACCCGTGTGAAGGCTCAGACCAGCTCCCACACACTTGAAAAGTGAGGAGCTGCGAGCTTTCCTTAGCCTGGTGTAAGAGCTCCCCCCTTCCTTTCTCCTTGGTTTTCATCCCTCCAATCTCTACACATTTCTTCACTTCAGAAGGCACAGTTGCACATCTGTTCTGTGCAGATGTTTAACACTGCTTGTAGCAGCAGACTTCTAACCTGAGCACAGCACACCCTTTACAAACCTCACTGTCACCTCACTATACCATGATGCAGGGGATCTCTCATGTTGCCTGAAGGGCACCAGCTATCCACTGGCCCCACAGTGGAGGGTACGGTCTTCCCATTCAACTCAAGCTTCTTAGCCTCCATTGGGTCTGGCATCCTTGAGGCACTGTATCTTTAAAAGCGCTGTAGGAACATCTGTTTCCAATTTTCAGGCCATGATCACGGTGAGGATTTGGGTGCAAGTAGTTTATGTGGGAAGCAATCCCAGGAAATACTGTGAGGGGCCATCTGCAGGGAGAGATGTGCAGAAAGGTACACTGATGGGTGTAACTCATCAACGGCCTTGGGCAATGAGATTGTCCTACTAGGACCCCCAAGCAACATATAGACTATAGCTCAGACTCCCTCTCCCCATGGAACAGACTCAGCCAGCCCCCATTTATATGGTTGATGGTCCTGTCTGCTCACTGTGCCTGCCTTGGTAATTTTGATAATTTGTCTCATTCTGAACACTCTGTCAAAGTCCAAATGTCTTATTAATTACAGTTGGGAGTCTGTCTTTTAAAGATGCCTATTCCTGTTTTAGTAAAATTGCTTTAATTATTTTTGTGGTAATTCTAGGTAAAATACTGTAATAATTTATGCCCAGCTAAGCAGAGGTATAAGCAAGGCCAGAAGAATAGAAGGCTACTTCTGTACTTTGGCCTCCCATTTCTGACCCCCACAAGAGGTGCTTAACCCCCCACCTTACTCACCGTCCAACACACTTGCCTGGGCCCCTTGCCATGGAGCTGCCTCTGGTGAAGTTAGGCTAGAGCTGTCTCTTGGATGCTTTGTCAGCCCATGACCACCTGCTTCATCCCCTGGGAGGCACCTCCCAGAATTCCATGAGTTTGGAACTCCTGAACTCAGTCCCATGAGACAAACCTTCCAAGGAGTAAATGCAAGAATTCCACAGCGCTGAGCCGAAGAAGTCAGTCAGCATTTTAGATTCCCAGACTGGACCCTCCTTTCTCCCGGTGTTTCAAATCCCAAATCTGAATGGTAATTGCTCCAATGGCTTGACCCCAGCTGTGACCTGAATCTGGATGCACTCTTGAGGCACTTATGGTTGCTTCTTTTGTCCCACAGCATCTGATGTGTGCTGGGCTGTGGTGCCTCGTAGAGGGTGATACATCCTGCAAGACCAAGCTGGACCCTCCCCTGGATGGCACCGAGTGTGGGGCCGACAAGGTAATACCCAGCTTCTAGCAACACCTCCTGCACTCGGAGCTTCTCTTCTTGGGGAAGGCAGTGTGCACTCTGCTTAGGATCCCCAGAAACAGCCCTGAGCACAGTAGTAATGCCTGTGGAGCCCACTGCACACACACGCACATGTGTCTACGGAGCCCTTGTTTCTTACAAAGCCACGAGAATAAATCATTTCCTTGATTTTTTTTTATTATTGTTAAATGAACTCTTTTTGTCACACAAGTGAACTTTCTTTTAATGAATAGGTAGTACACAGAAAGCCAAGTCACTTGCATTGATGAGAACCATGTCAGATTCTATTTAAATTTTAGTCGGCGAGCTGGTCCTCATGAAGGGGGTAGACTACAAGGGTTTGCAGGAAGTAGGCAGGACCTGCAGCCACCAACTTTCTCTTTAGTTGCAAGCCTTCCTTAGTTGGTTTGTTGTTTCCTCTACCCTCCTTCCTCTTTCCCTCCTCCTAGGCCCTCATGCTCCCTCCTCACAATCCCCTCCTACCTCTTCTCCTTTTCCGCTCCTTCTTTCCCCCTCCTCCGCCCTTGTCCTCTCCTCCACATCTTCCTGTCTTTATCTCCTGCTCTTTTTTTGTCTCTCTTGTGATAGAGCCTCTGTGTGTAGCCCAGGCTGCCCTAGAGCATGCTGTTTAGCCCAGGCTGGCCTTATTCATGTGATTCTCAAGGCTTTCACCTCACAAATGCTGGGGTTTCCGGCCTTTTACCACCATGCTGGCTTACTGGATGTCTAGGAAGAACATTTTTTTTTTAAAAAGATGTAATGTTTGTTCTGATGCTATGCTCAGGAAGTCTGAGTCACACACTTTGTGAAATCTGTTTTAGAGCTTGACTTTCTTTATCCTCAGAAAGAACCAAGGTGTCCCACCACCATCACCACCAATCTGGCTAGCCCAGGCTGGCTTCCCATTTGTGGTGCTCCTCCTGTTTCAGCATCCCATGTGCTGGGTTGAAAAGCATGCGCCACCACACCTGGCTTTGTCATTTCTCAGAACTAAGCCCAACTTTGAAGCCCTAGCCTCAGATCCTGCACACGTCGTCGTCTTCTGGAGAGAAATACACATGCATTATTCATCGTTTACACACCCTCGTTCTGCTCTCACGCCACGAGGATCAGTTCTCTTCCTGAGAATGTAGAAAATCTCTGTAGAGCACATTTCCTGGATAAAGTTGCGGCACGCTCCAAACACCAGGGAGTTTACAGCACCAAGTTGACCAAGCATTAGCAAACGTGCACACCCTGAAACACTCCACTTCTGTGGAAACTTCAAAATGCATTTTGATACCAAGGGGGAATCAGTCCTTTGGGGGCATAAGTGGCTTTGCTGAGTGTGGCTCTTTTGTGTGTTCTAGTGGTGCCGGGCTGGAGAGTGCGTGAGCAAGACGCCCATCCCAGAACATGTGGACGGGGACTGGAGTCCATGGGGCACCTGGAGCATGTGCAGCCGAACATGTGGGACCGGAGCACGATTCCGGCAGAGGAAATGTGACAACCCCCCGTAAGTTTCCCCTCACACCCCACTGCAAGGAGCATCCCATCCTGAGGGATTTTTCCTCTTTTTCCTCTAATGCCAGGAACTGTATTACAAAGGCAAACAGGGTAGACTAAGGCTGAAATTGAGGGCCTTGAGTGTGTCATGTCAACTTTGCTGGAGCTTTCTCTGATCATGGGGACACAGTAGAGTCCAAGGGAAAGTTGGCTCCATTATCCCTTGCATGGCTGTGGTATAAAGACTCCCTGGGACAGACAGATGACAATTTGTTTTGCCTATGTCATGGTCTATTTAGTTGAGGGCCATTTTCAGAAAGTCTGGAGACCTTCCAGAAAGGGAGGCTAACCTTTGACTCTCTGCTTGCAGATTTGGGAGCAGGTTGAACATGTGTCTGGAACTATCTATGGATTGAGTGTTCAGCTAAATGGTTTTCATTTCTTCTCCTTCTAAATCTACTTGACAGAGGAAAAAAACTGATATATTTCTCTAAATTCCTTTTTATGGGCTATGATACATCAAAACCCTTCCTGTTCACCCCAGGACATTTGCTCTGGAAAACTCAGGGATAAATTTTTATGCTCTATTATAATAATTACATCCCCAAGAAGGTTTTCTCCTTCTCTGAGCTTTCCCAGTTTTAAAGTTCCCTTTGACCATCTGCTTTCTCTCTGGAATGTCCTCAGTCAGATCCCATCTGTTTGGAGAGTGAGCAAATGATAAATTGTGTCTAAACATGAAATGATTTTCCACAGCGAAGTCATGATGATGAGTAATTAGCAGATACCTCTTGTTTGTAAAAACAAAAACAAAACTCCCTATGCTCAGAATGCATAGTCAAATCATGGGGGTGGGCCATGCAGTTGATGCCTTAACTGTCATAGGTGATGCCAAGGACCAGCCAAGGCTGGGAACCCTCTTCATAAGGAGAGCTGACATCCATAGTTTAGTGGGTGGTCACATAGCATTTTTCAGTTGTGCTGTAACAAATGGCATTGTGCAAAATGTCTTTTCAATTTAGACGCAGCTGAGTGCCTGGCACACAGTAGGTGTTTAACATGTTAGGAATGACATTCTTAGCTGAAAGTCTGAATGATATCTTGCTAGTAGGGGAGATGATTAAAAACTTCTAGCTGAGTGGTGAGAAATGATTGGAGGGTGGTTTTTTTTTTTTTTTTTTTTTTTTTTTTTTTTTTTTTTAACGGCTCAGTTGAAAATAATGCCTTGGGCTCCCAAAGGAGAGGTGTGGGTTTGGATACATAGAGCTGAGGTTTGGGCCCCAGATGTCCTGTCATTAGTCTTTGACCTCAAGGAAGACTCTTTGGTTCCCTGGGCCTCAGTTTCCCCTATTAGAGGCTACTGGCATAAAAGAAAAGGAACAGCCAAATGTGAAAACTGGCACAGACCAGTCTTCAAGTCCAGTCACCCTCCATACCCTACAGCACCTGGCAGCTTTTACAGTCCTACCTGCTAAAAATTGGAAAAATGTGTGGGGATCCAATAAAACTGTTAGTGTTTCACATGTGATCCTTATCATCATTAACACTAGCAGAAGAACCGGGATGAAGCTACCTGCCTTGTTCTCCTATCATAGGGCTGAATTACAGCTCAGCACAGCGTGGGAAGGGCTTGTATCAGGTAAGGAAGTTTGTCCCGGGTGCTCCGCGTTTAGAGCTCATGGATGCTGGCCGCCTCCTGCTTATCGTACGTGCCAGTTCATATCAGGTGATACCCATACACATCACACAGAGCCTCTAGATGTCCAGCTTCCCCTATGTCCTGACATGCTGGGCAGTTTGGCTGTGTTTATGTGACTACTCACTTGTTCACCTCCCACAATGTTCCCAGTGCTGGGAAAAATGGATGAGGCACTATTTTAAGAGACCAGTGTTGTCCTTTGTCTTGCAGTGGTATTGGCTAAAATCCCCTGCAGAAGACAACCTGCAAAGAAGACTTTCCAAAGCTGTGTGGCTTCCTACCAGGGCTGGCTCCCTGTCATAATCCTAGCTGCATCTTAATCCATTGTTCTGAGATACCCAGAGGGCACTGTGCAAGATAGTCTCCTTAAGACTCCCCAGTTCTTAAAACTGCTCTGCTGTATGTGTTGGGAGACCCATCCCTCCAGATCCAATGGCCCCAGAAGGGAAAGTGCTCACAAATGTTTTCTTCTGTCTGTCTTCATTATCAACCAGCACCCACCGTATCCTACTTGTACCAAGACCCTCATCCCCAGCCCTGCCACCATCATGAATTTTATCGCTTGTTCACTGAGGTTTGAGAGAATTAAGAAGGCAGCCACACAGACAGGCTTGCAGGCTTGTGGGACCCTCACACATTGGTGTTAGAGGTGTTCCTTCTTGCCCAGTCTCTGCTGGCCTGATGGCTGTTGGGAGACTGGGGATAAAAGTGTACCAGAAAAAGAAGGCCGCTGTTCTTGCTCTTCCCAGGCTTGGTTTTTTTGTTTGTGTTTGGTTTTGTTTTTGATTTGAGTAAGGGTTTCTCTGTGTAGCTTTGGGGCCTGTCCTGGAACTAACTGTGGAGCAATCTGGCCTCAAACTCACAGAGACCCACCTGCTGCTTTTTCAACAAGTTGCTTTCAGTAAGCAATGAGTCTAAAGAGTGTAGGGCATGGGTTTACAGTGACTAGCAATGACAGGTAAACTCTTCCCCCCTTCCCATGATGTCCCCTGCCCATGTTTCAAACTGGATCCCTTGTAAGCTACACTCTTCCTCCCTGCTCACTTCCTTGCTCAAGGGCATAGCCCGTGTCTATGGTTACCTTTTTGTCTCCTTTACAGCCATTTATAACAAGTCTAGTGAAGGAGGGGGCACAATTACCCTGTGTCAATTCCCTAAGGCACTGTGGAATGCAAGGGCTCTGGCGGTAATTAGCCAGGCAGTTCTGTGGGAGAGGGTCCTTTTTATCCCCACTGTGCAGATATAAATGTCATACAGGTAGGTAATAACCAATAGGCATGGGGATTTCTCTAAATAAATAAAATAAAAACCAGAAATCCCAAATCAAGGATATCCACATGGCTGGTTCCTCCTTGGATGCCTGAAAGAGAATGTGTCTTCTGTATTTGTTCTAAGTTCCAGTGGCTCTGGTGGCCTTTGTCCTCCCTGGCCACTGTCTACCTGTCCTTTCACATGGTCTCTGCCTTCTCTTCTCCTGGGAGGGCTCTTACCATTGAATTTCAGGTCATGTCGTCTGAGATCCTGAAGTACCTCTCCTGCAGCCCTTCTTCTTTTTCTAAATGAAGTCACATTCTCATGTTCCAGGCCAGCGTATCTTAGGGGACCAGCATGGCCACCATTTGGCCTACTCACTTTTCAGCCACAGTGTTCCAACCCAGAGCCTTCATCAGTACTCTGTCCTGGCCCTAACTTGCCTTTGTTGAGATCCTCAGAGAAGTCTCTTCCTTGACCATCCTGTTTAAAGTGGGGTGCAGCTCGACTCTGTCTGAGCTCCCCCAGCATTGCCTTGTCTCTTGTGTCTTAACTCACTTGATTTTGCTTTGATCTCATTGCTTTGAGCTTCCTAAAGGCCTAGGGCAGGCTCACCTTCCCTCCCCTGCCTGCAGCAGAGCAGTGGCTCAATAAAACATGCTGGGACATCTCCTTGCTTGTTTCCCAGGAGATGCCATCTTTCTGTCCTTCCCAGGCCTCCATAACATATCCCTAATGTCTCTTTTCCATTCAGAAACACAAAAATTAACCAAAGTCATCCAAAGTCATCAGGCCAAATAATAGATCACCAATAAGCCCCCCCCCCACCTGTATAGAGTCTTGAATGTTCTAAAAAGTCAGGCAGTGTAGCCCACCCTTCCCCTGCAATGCTATCACTTATAGCAAGAAATACCCCAGCCTTGCCTGTTACAACTTAGAACATTACACTGTAATGTTGTCATCTTGATCGTCAATCTGATCATTTGCTGAATGGTCATTCAGCTCAATTTCCTATTGGGAATGGGAACAACTTACCCTGTCTTCTTGGGAAATGTTCTACAAGAGTCCACCCTACCTTCCTGGAGCCAACCCAGGTAAAAAGAAAAACATGGTCAGATTTTGAGCAGGAGGATCCAAAGCAGCCTTGGTGTTTCCTGAAGTGACTGGCTCAGCAATGCATGCAGTTAGGGCTTGCAGCAGTAGGGCCTGATCTTGAACAATGCCTATGTGGTAACTGTTACAAAGCACAGCTGATCATGGCCTCTGAGCCAAGGTCTGACCACAACAACATACCCTCTGTCTCACTCCTTAAATCAGCAGCTTGCTTCCCCCATATTTCAAGAGGCTGGCCAGAGCTCACTGCTGTGTACGGCTTGCAACCCTCCCATGAGCCTCTCCCTATGGCTTTCTCTGCACATCCCTGGCCTCTTTCCCTCTACTCTGCAGCTGGTTTATTCACTGTCCAAAGATACTGGCAAAAGAGTTCCCCGCCACCCCATCCTTTTTTCTTGGTCCTGGTTTTTATAGCTATTGGTGTTTTTACTTCCTGGGGTTTACAGGGGGGAGCCATCCATGTTTTATTTGTTAATGTTTATTTTCTTTAATTTTTTTAAATCTTTATTTTATGTATATTGGTGTTTTGCCTGCATGTATACATGTGTGAGGGTGTCAGATTCTCAGGAACTGGGGTTACAGACAGCTGTGAGCTGCCGTGTGGCTGCCGGGAATTGAACCCAGGTCTTCTGGAAGAACAGCAAGTGCTCTTAATGTCCTTTTTTTTTACACCAGCTTCCTAAGTCTGTTCTTTCCCGGCCATCCATATTGTTGTTGGTCAGTTAGTGGAAGATTCATTTCTATTTTGGATTCTGATGTTGGGTGATGGGGGAAGGCAGAGAGGAAGGCTCGGGTGCATGTGTGTAAAGAGCTATTTCTGCACCAGCCCCTGCATGATAGAGTGGAGAGCTAAAGCATCAGGACCACTTCAACATTGTCACCCCATGGCCGCAACAAGGGTCAGGGGAGCAACTGGTTATTCGGTGTTCAGTGGAGGGAAGGGCAAA